AAGGAGACATTAGGAGGCATGGCTGCTTTTCTTAATTTTTCAAAAGTTAGATGTATTACATATATTCTAGTTTCCCTTAATTACATATTATTGATTTTGTCATTCATAAGTTATCTAAACATTTTAATTGTTTATATCTTCATTCTTTTCTACCTTTAGAGATAATAGGCTTCATGAGTTTTGTAAACTACTGTTAAGGCCTTAAACTCAATTTTTTCAGTTACATTTTAGTTTTATGAGATTGGGCTAAAAAGTCTGCATTTACCCTAACTATACCTTTCCTGATAATCTAGATACAGCAATTCCTACAATAGGAAGAGATTGCAGAATGTAGTTTTATGAATATGTGCTGCTGTGGTATTCTAGGAATAACATTGGGCACATTGTCCATTGTGGGCTTAGAAAGACCCCTTAATACAACACAACTATTTTTTTTCATGGGAAATGAATGGAATATGCAAATAATATTTCCAATTTTCTTAAGGTAAAATAAACTTTGTTGGCACTATTCCCACAAGGATAAATTTCATATATTTTAACAAATCTATAATGATTTCAAAGCCATAATAAGAAATCTCATTCCTCAATTATGAATATTTATATTCTAAGGTTGCTAGTAAAGAAAAGTGGGCCCTGCCTAGCAAACCAGTCTCAAATAGGGCGCTGAAGTGACAAGTGAATCTTATCACAGCCAATCATTTCTGTCCCAAGTAACCTAACAAAGTAGTCAAAACCTTCCTGCTTTGAAACAATCTACTTCATTGCATGTGAAGTCCTGATTCTGCCTTGCAAAAAGAAGTGTGGTGGTGGTATTTCCAGATTTGCTCTAACATTAATGAAAAAAGAAACATCAGAGGCAGAACACTAAAAGCAAGATGTCTACTAAAAACCTACAATAATTATCATAATTAGTTATGATATTGACATATCCCTGAGATTGGGAAGAAGGAAGAGATGTTTGCTAATACTACATATATTCAACCTTGTATTGGAGATCCTAGCTAAAGTCTTCCTTTAGAAATAAGAAATAGAACTGTAATTTTAACACTGAGCATAATTGGATAGACAGTCCAAAAGGATTTACAAATTATTGGAAGTTATCAAGTTTTCTAGATATGTCAGTATGCAAAATTAATTGTATTTTTATATTCCAGCCACAAACAACAAGAAAAAGAAATAAAAAATTACAGCATGTAAAAACACCAAATGCCAAGGAATAAAGCCAATGAAAGGTGTGCAAGACCTCTAAAATGAAAACTAAAAATTTTACTGAGAGAAAGATGTATGTGGAACAAGTAAAACTTTCATACACTGCTAATGGGAGTAAAATTGGTACAACCATTTTGAAAAACTCAGTAGTATTTACTGAAGCTGAACATAGACATACCCTATGACCTCCCAAATTCACTCCAATACACGTGCAACAAAAATGAGTTTATATTTGCTTTGAAAATTTTACAAGATTGGTCATAACAGCTTTACTTAAAATAGCCCCAAACTGAAAACCACCTAAATGTGCAGCAACAATAAAATGCATAGATATATTCACATAAAGGAATATCACACAGCAATACAAATCATTCAGCAATGTAACTGAATATCATATATATAATGTTGAACAAAATTAGCAAGAAACAAAAGAAGTAAATAATACATATTTTCACTGATATGAGAGTCTAAACCCCACAAAATGAATCTATGGTTCAAAGCAAAACAGTAGGTACCTTTGTAGGAATAAGTGGCTGAGAGTCATGAGGGAGATTTCTGAGGTTCTAGAGACATTTCGTATTATACCTCAGTTAAAAAAGCTTACTCCTAAAGAGGTAAGACCAAGGTATACAAAAAATTCCAAGTAAAAAAAGCAATAGTTGTTGTATTAATAGTAAACAAAGTGGAATTCAGGTGGAAAAGACATAATATGAAATGAACAATGGTGATTAATGGTTCAAGATGCACTTTTTGTGGATATATTTTAAAAGATCTATACATGAATATTCTTAACACAGCAGATATAAGGAAAAACAGAAACACATTATTAGTACAGTATTTTAATTCTCCTTTTCTCCATCCTTAAGTCAAGTATCAAAATATAAGGACAAGAAAGACTTAAATAATATGAAGGCAACACTTATAACTACTTAATGCTACAAGTTAATATTAACTCAGGTAAAAGTAATAAACTGTCTACTATATGGAAAACACTGTTAATGCACTCACAACTTATCAAAACCTATGACACATATAATGCACATATAATGGGAAATTTAACCTTATTATATAGATATAAAGAAACAATATCAATGTAAGAAATGAATTAAGCATCTACCACACACACACAAAAAAAGGAAAAGTGCAAAATAAAGGGAAGCAGAGGAGGGAACTAACAGAGTTAAAAGCAGAAGTTAAGTTAAAACCCCCCAAACCCAGTAAAACTTGGGTTCAGGTTTAAAAAAAAAAACACCACAAAAATAGATTGACTATTAACAGCCTAAAAGAAAGAACCACAGTCTTTGCATATGTTACATTGAACATTGTTAGAAAATTTCCATAATGAAAACTTTTCTTTTTTTTAATGAAATGTTTTCTTTACAGATAATATGAACATACAAAATAAGTAATTATAAAGGTTAAATGACTTGATGGGAGAATTCTACCAAAACTTTAAGAAGTAGTTAACTCCAATAGTATTTAAATTGTTGGGCATAAAGAAAATCCTTAAAAGAAATATCTGAATGCAGAAAGCTGCTGTAAGGCAAGAGATACCACAAGCAAAATTAAGAAAAAATATTTGGATCTCATGTCATAAAAGGGTGATCTTAATTTGTAAAGAGGCAATAAAAATTAATATGAAAGGGACATACAGCCCTATAGAAAATGGGTAAATTGTATGAATAGATGATTTACAGAAAAAAAATATTTAAAGAGTTCTTAAACAGTTGAAAAGGTATTAAATATAACTTAATGTGAGAGAGAAATTGAAACTACATTGACATATCCTTTTTTCCCAACAGACATAAAATTAAAAAAATGATAACCAATAAACATTGGTTTATTGATGTTATTGATAGAAGGAGAGAAAATAGGGAGAATTTATAAAGATTAGACAGGCATATACTCTGACTCAGCAGCTTCAATTTTAGGAATTTATCTTATAGGTATACCTGTACACATTTAAAATGAGGAATGTACCAAGGTCGGTCACTGCAGCATTGTTTGACATGACAGAAGTTTGATAGCAAACTAAGTGTCCTTCAATTGGTGAAAGGACTATATAAATTAATAGTACATACATGCAATTAAATATCATACAACTGTAATGATTATGTAATCAAATGGAAAGACAAGATACACAGTAAACTGAAACAAGCAAAGTAGAGTGAAATGCATATACTACTTGTGTATAAAACAGGAAGCAAAAAAGAATGTATGTTTTTTGGTTTGTTTACAAACACAAACTGAAAGGATAAATAAGAAAGTAACTCTTTTTCAAAAGGATGGAAACAATATATGGGGAAGGATGGGAGGGAGAATTTAAATTCCATTTCTTTTTGACATTTGAACCCTATATTACTATTAAAATTCGGATTATGGATGAGAATTTAAAGTGAAGTTACTTAAATTGATATGGAATATTGAATTGAATTTTATATTGAAGATTTCTGACATAAAAATATCAAAGTAATATTTAAGGAGATTAATTTTGCAACATGATTTGCAAAGTGAATTGTAGGAGTGAGAGATGGATAGCAGAGACACCTGTTAGAACATTTTTGTGATACTTTAAATGTGGAATAATAAATGCCTAAATTAGGATGGTGCCAATAGAAATACAAAAGAAAGGGTAATGTATGAGATCATATTTAAAATAAAGCAGTAAAATAAGGATTAAATAGATATGATTAAACAAAAATTTACACAGACACAACTAGATTCTACTTAGCCTACATTCCTGAAGAATAAGGATAAACAACTAACAACTCTTAAGACAGCAAACTGAAGAAATGTTACAGTTCTGAATGAATTTCTAAAAGTCAAAATTAATTCCTTAAGGTATTAAATGTTTATACATTTGTGTTAAGTTAAAATAAAAAATTAAAACAATTTTTGATACTCTTTGTAAACATATCTATAGTTCAGTATCAAAGATATACCTAATATTTTTGGTGCTTAAAAATTTACATATTATTATATATGCATTGGAGAAAAATCAGATAAATAAGTAAAATAAGCTAACCATTCATAATCCCACCACCCAACAATTTCTACTACTAACATTTTTTTTGCATACCTTAAAGACTTATTCCTAGGAATCTTTATACTCACATTTTTTGTATATTTTAGTGGGCTCATGCTTTATCTTGATGCTTTAGTTCCAGCATATTATCATTATTTCTTTTTATATCAATGAATATACATGTTTCCAAACTGTGGTCCAGAGGTATGAACCAACTAAGGTCCAATGATATCATATTCTCTGCACCTACAGTATACATTTCCCACTAATTCAACTCTAGCTATAAGAAGACAGAATTTCTGTATAACATTACCAATTTTTACTTAGCATTATTTACCTCTGGTAAAAAACCTTCCTTTAAATGTCTTTAACAGCACTACACTGAGGGTTGTTGGAGTGGAGGGGGTTGGGAAGGATGGGGTGACTGGGTGATGGACATTGGGGAGGGTATGTGCTATGGTAAGCGCTGTGAATTGTGTAAGACTGATGAATCACAGACCTGTACCCCTGAAACAAATAATACGTTATATGTTAATTAAAAGTACTACACTCATACCTCTGGTCTTAATATTTTCGGAGGCCAAAAATATTTTTAAAGACATTTATTTCTAATTGATTTTGGAGTCAAATTTGTTTACAATTAAATTTCAGAAGCTATATTACAATTAATAAAGTTATGAATTTCACATTGTAAGAATTATGAAAATAAAGCAGTAGAGTACTGCAGTGAATTACCGGAAAACTGAAAGGTACCATTCATGTTTACCTGAAGTGGGAGACTTGCAGCGCTCGAGTTCCAGGGGAACTGGACTGTCATTTAGCTCAGTTAAACCTGAAAATGAAATGATAATAAGTGAGATAAATTTTGCTAACACTTTGTAGATAATTCTTATTTATTCCTGAATATTTAAAAAGGTTTTTCTTCTCCCTGTGAAAACTACTTTTGTAGTCTCATGTTATGACAGTGGTTCTGATAATTTGTTTCAACAAGTGATACCGGAAAAAATAAGGAGAAATAACTAATAGATATGCAAAGAGTAACTGAACATAATGGTAGAAAAATATAAATCTTTTTTATTTTTTCATATGAAATAGCTACTTTATTTTATTTTTTTATGTTATTTTAATCACCATACATTACATCATTAGTTTTTGATGTAGTGTTCCATGATTCATTGTTTGCATATAACACCCAGTGCTACTTTTTTTATTATGTTAATCAGCATACATTACATTATTAATTTTTGATGTACTGTTCCATGATTCCTTGTTTACGTACAACACCGTGTTCCATGCAGAACGTGCCCTCTTTAATACCCATCACCAGGCTAACCCATCCCCCCACACCCCTCCCCTCTAGAACTCTCAGTTTGTTTCTCAGAGTCCCTAGTCTCTCATGATTCATCTACACCCAGTGCTACTTTAATAAATGACCTAAATTTCACCTGAAAATAGACCAAAAATAATACAACTTATAATGGGTTTTTAAAAAGACCTAACCAAATCTTCTATTTTCAAGAGAAATGCTTATTGGCTTTTATAAGGAACATTAAGGGTAGGCTACAAATTTTAATTATACTTAGTTATATAAAGGTAGTGTTATGTAGTACATATTAAGTGATTTGTTTGATGGCATCAAATTCCTTATAATAAACACTACATTTTTCTCTTATTTTTAATATTCTATTATGTCAATCTACTGACATATACAAGGATCTACTGACACATACAAGGATAGGCACAATAGGTTAATAAACATTTTGTAATTCTCATTACTGTGGCATTCATAAAACATCCTTAATTATGGTTTTCCTAGTAGGAGATTCTCGTATACTTTTTCTTTGTACATAAATATTCAGAATTTCTACTTTAATGTAAATCCCCATACCCAGAAGTACTTTGTCAATTACCAAAGCTATCTTTGTTCATAATCCTTGCCACCACCCCTTTATGTAATTTGTATGAATAAACTTGCTGTGCAGTCAAAAAATCATAGAATTTTAGAAAAGGTCCGCTGTGGTACTCTAGCCCAACTCTTACGTTTTACAGATAAGAAACTGTCAGTTCGAAGAGTTTAAACAATTTAAGGTTACAGAACTAAGTGCCAAAGCTTGAATAGAATTCTTTATATATTTAAGAATCTTTTGTTAGAAGTAGGTATTGTGAATATTTTCTTCCCATGAGACTTATCTTGTCATTTTCTTAATGAAAATGAAATGTCTTTTGATGATCAGATTAGTTTCCTTTAAGGACAAATTATCATTTTTTTCCTTTTGTGATTTTTAAAATTCTTATGTGAGTAATCTTTGCCTACTCCATGGTCATGAAGTTATTATTGTTTTCTTCAAGAAACTTTTTAATATTCAGCTTTCTTTTTTAGGACTATATTTCATCTTAAATTAATTTTGATTGTGGTATGAAGAGATTAAGGTCCAAAATTTTCCCTATATATTTGTCCAGTTTTTCTATCATTATTTGTTAAAAAGATTTTCCTTTCTTCATTAATTTTTATTAGTGACTTAGTAAAAAATAAATTGGCTACATAAGTGTAGGTTTATTTCTGGACTTTCTACTCTGTAGTACCCCACTAATTAACATAGGTTTATAGTACATCTTGAAGGAGTAAAATCCTCCAACTTTGTTCTTTTTCCAAGAGCTTTTTTATTTTAGATTCTTTGCATTCCTAAACAAAGTTTAGAATCAGTTTGTCAATTTCTACAAAAGGATATGCCAACATTTTATTGGACTGTAATAAGTCCATAGATAATTTTGGCAGAATGAACATTTAAAAAATAGTCTCCCAACCCATAAACATGGTGTTCTCCTCCATTTAAATGATCTTTTAAAATTTTCTTTCTGCACTAGTTTGTAGATTTCAGTATAGAGGTTTCAATCATGGCATTTTTCAAGTCTTCTATTTCCTTTTCGGTCTTCTACCTAGTCCTTGTATCCTTATTCGAAGTGCAGTATTGAAATTTCTAATTGTCTGTCTCCCTTTGATTCTGTAAAGTATTGCTTCATGTACATCTTAGTTCTGTTGTTAGATGCTTAGATGTTTATAATTGTTAAATCTTCTTGATGGGTTGACCATTTTTTCATTTTAGATGGCTCTATTTCTAGTAACTTTTTTTTTGCTTTAAAATCTATTTTGTCTGATATTAACTACAGCCTTTTTATGTTTGCTGTTTGCATGATCTTTTTCTGTCCTTTTACTTTCAACCTATTTGTATCTTTATGCCTTCAGACAGTATAGAGTTAAATCTTGATTTTTAAAAAAATTTAGTCCAACAATCTTTATCTTCTGATTGGATTGTTAAATCTATCCATACTTAATGTTATTATTGATATAGTTGGATTACATCTGTCATTTCATTTTAGGCTTTCTGTATGTCTCATGTCTTTTTTATTCCTCTAATCTTCCTTTACTGCTTTGTTTGGCAGTAAGTAAATATCTTCTGGTGCAATTTATTCTTTCTTTAATAATTCTGTCATCATAATTTTTTAAAGATTTTATTTATTTGTTTGACAGAGAGACAGCGAGAGAGAGAACACAAGCAGGGGGAGTTGGAGAGGGAGAAGCAGGCTTTCTGCTGAGCCGGGAGCCCAATGTGGGGTTCAATCCCAGGACCCTGGGATCATGACCTGAGCTGAAGGCAGATGCTTAACGACTGAGCCACCCAGGTGCCCCTCTGTCATCATATTTTTGGAGTTCTTTGTAATTGCTCTAAGACAACATATACATCTTAATTTATCAGAATCTACTTCAGGTGTATATTAACTTAATGCCAGGGGGATATAGAAATGTTACTCTTATATAGCTCTATATCCTCTTTTCCCCTTTATGTGCTATTATATTGGCATACATATTACATCCATATGTATTAGAAATCCAACAACATATTATAATTACTTTAAATAACTTTGTTTTTTTTTATAAACCTGAGAAGGAAGAGAGCAAAAAAATGTATTTATAAAGTTTGTGTATTAACTTTCTAATTTACCATTTCTAGCTCTCTTCATTTGTTGTGGTCAATCCACCTGGTTTCATCTGCTTATTCAAATACAGCTTGGCTCCCACCTACCTCCTCGGTGCTGTTACGGAAAATATATTACATTTCTATATGTTATAGGCCCAACAATAAATTTTATACATATTGTTTTATAAATGGCTTATTAAATCGGTTAAGAGACGAAAAATGTGCACTTACACTATTTTATAATTACATAATTACCTTAATAATGTTCTTTTTTTCCTTTGTGTGAATTCAAGTTATCATCTGGTGTTTACTTTCTTCAGCCTGAGAAAACTTTACTTAGTATTTCTTGTAAAGTGTCTATGCTAGCAACAAAATTCTCTCATTTTTTGTTTATCTGGGAATGTCTTTATTTCATCTACATTTTTGAAAGATCATTTTGCTGGATATAAGATTCTGGGGTTTAGTTTTTTCCTTTGAGCACTTTGAATATGTTGTCCTACTGCTTCCGACCTAAACTGTTTCTGACGAACTATTAATCCTACTGGAGCTCCCTTGTAGTGACAAGTCATTTTTCTCTCAGTTCTTTCAAGATTTTCTCATTACCTTTCTAAATTTATACTATGATGTGTCTGGGTGTGGATATCTTTGCATTTATCCTATTTGGAGTTCACTGAGCTTTTGGACATATACATTAATGGTTTTCATCAAATTTTGGAAGTTTTCTGCCATTATCTTTTTGAATATTTTTCTGCTTCTCTCTCTTCTCTCCTTCTACTACTCTTATTATGGACATGTTGGTGTACTTAAGCTACCCTAATTTTTTTTCTCTTCTTCAGAATGCATAGTCTCTCTCAGCCTACCTTCAAGTTTGCTGATTCTGTTTCTACCAGTTCAGATAGACTGTTGAGTCCCTCTAGTGAATTTTTCTTTTCACTTATTGTACTTGGTTCTTGTTTTCCCTCAACCCCATTCACTCATTTCACCCATCTTCCACTCTCTGCCGGTGGAAACCACTAATCTCTTCTCTGTATTTATGTGCTCATTTTTGTTGTTCTTTGTTCTTTTTTAGATTCCACATATAAGTGATATCGTATGGTATTTGTCTTTGTCTTATTTCACTTAGCATAATGTTCTCAAGGTCCATCCATGTTGTTGCAAATGGCAAGATTTCCTTCTTTTTTATGGCTGAATAATAATCCATTGTGTGTGTGTGTGTGTGTGTGTGTGTGTGTGTAACTCAACTGTATTTTCTTTACTCAATCATCCATTGATGGACACTTAGGTTGTTTCCACATCTTGGTTATTATAAATAACCAATATAAATAATGCTGCATGGGAGTGGCGTATATCTTTTTTGAGTTAATTTTTTATTTCTTTGCATAGACACCTAGAAGTGAAATTGCTGGATCATATGGTAGTTCTATTTTTAATTTTTGAGGAACCTCCATACTGTTTTTCAAAGTGGCTGTACCAATTTACATTCCTACCATCAGTGCACAAGGATTTCCTTATCTCTACATCCTTGCCAACACTTGTTATTTCTTGTCTTTTTAATGATAGCCATTCTAACAAGTGTCAGGTGATATATCATTGTGGTTTTGATTTGCATTTCTCTGATGATTAGTGATGCTGAGCACCTTTTCATGTACCTGTAGGCGATCTGCATGTCTTTTTTGAAAAATGTCTGTTCAGATCCTCTGCTCATTTTTTAATTGGAATTTTCTTTTCTTGCTATTGAGTTATATAAGTTCTTTATATATTTTGGATATTAACCCCTTATCAGATATATGATTTTTAAATATTTTCTCCCATTTCATGGATTGCCTTTTCATTTTGTTGATGGTTTCCTTTGCTG